CTCCTCCTCCTGCTCCTCCTCCTCCTCGTCCTCCATCTTCTTCTTCTTATCGGTTGGTGCGTAAAACATATACACTGGGTTTTATATTGAGGTTGAATTCTGTGAGTGCCAGCTCGGATGTGTGATCCGTCTCTAGGGTTGCAGTAGCCCACCATCTAAACAAGTCTAAATTGTATCGATAGCAACTAAGCTAATAGTGTCCCTCTGCTTCATTCTTCTGCACCAGACAAATCAGAAGTCTGGGACCCCATAAAATTTTTGACAACTTGCACAATGACATGCTTTATGCACACCGACCCATTCACTATGTACAACAACCCTTTGAATTCAGCACAACTGAACACATTTCCAATGGACTCTTATCTCAGGGTTGAGTTCTCTGAGCGCCAGCACAGTGATGGTGGAGGCCGGGGACGGTGACGCGCCTGGTGGGGAGGAGTCACAATTGACAGAGGCGGCCGTCGACTCCATGGCTGGGGCCGGCCAGGAGCTGCTCGGTGCAGGGGACGCAGAAGACAAGGCTATCGCTGCCCAGGATGCGGAAGGCAAGTTATCTTTTTTTCTCAATGTATGATTCTTTCAATAGAAAAAAAGATTTCCCTGCTTTTCTGATGCTTGGGTTTCGAGGGCTTTAGGCAGAAAATACAGTAGAACCTGTTCAAAGCAATTTGTCCTGTATTTTTCATGCTTGTGTTTGTAAGGCCTTGGTTGAAAAATACAGTTAACTGATTTTTTTTACACAGGTGATTCTCTTGGACAGTGTTTGTACATACGATTGTCTTGGACAGGTTGTTGCTAGAGCTGGTTCAGATAAATTAAGATGAGATGATACTTTATTGTCCCTTTGAGAAATTTGTCTGTGGTTGTACAGGAATGGTAAAAACACATGTAGACATTCATAGATTATATGTTGCATATTACTTTTGCTTTATTTCAGAAAAAGGTGATTGATGACAAGTTAGTCTCCTTCAGCTTTTCTTGCCGGACATATTATTATTGTCTGTCTTTTCCACAATATTGTTGGGTCATGAACAGTGGTTCATATGATGGCTCACTGTCTCTTCTCTGCGTGATCAGATACATTTTGGTAGTAGGAGAAAGTCTACTTGAGGTCTCCATTTAAAACTTACTTGACCTACTATGCATACCCAGAGTCTCCACTCTTTGTGGGGTCAACACAGGGATAGCCATAAAGTCATAAGGGAAAGATGATTTTGATTTATTTAATGAAGGGAGACCTCAGAAAGACCTGGTTTCATATTGTTTTTTAATTCACTTTTAATAAAACCATCTCATGTTTCTCTCTTCAGAGGTAAAGATTGAACAGAGGTTGACCCCTAAGTCTGGTAGCCTAGGGGACGACGAAGAAGAGATTGATGATGACAGTGGTGACAACGATTCTGTAGTTACTGTGAAACCAAAGGATATTGATCGCCATGCCACGCTGGTGGACATGTGCAAAGCTGTAAAAGCTTTCATTGGTAAGTGTTAGGGTTTTCTCAATGTCTCTTTCACCTTCTGTTTTTGAGCTGTAGTCAATGAAACTAGCTTGAAGACAGGGCCCGTGACACTCCAGTCATGTGAAATGGCATGTTGCAATTTGATATTGTTATTGTACTATATATCAATTGTCATGCAAGTTGTAGTCTAATTTACCTCCCTGTTTGGAGCAATAATGGCATTTGTTAGCCCGTTTGAAGAGATTGCCAACAACCTATAACACCTATACTTTTTTTCATTTTCTTTCCTGTTTAGTACCTGAAGCATATGTCCCATTATTCTATGTTTTCCAGGGTTTCCGGGGGGGAGGGGGGGGTGCTCTCTTGTGGTTTGCCCCTTCTTTCCTATCAGACATCCGTCATCGTTATCTCTCTCTTTCTTTTCTTTGTATTTTACTCTCTTATTATTAATCTTTGGCAGTCGTATGACCTATATGTGTTGAAATGCCATAAAACTGGTACTGAAACTAAGATAAACTGTGTTTTCCAGGACTTGCTGGTGTGTACAGTATACGGGATCACTTTGAGCACGAGGCAATGCGGGGCATAGAGGACGTGTCTTCCATGGCTCGGGCCCACTACGGCGAAGATCACTTTGAGCGTTTCTCACCCACTGAGATCCTGAGGAGTTTAGGCAGAGGCCTTAGGTGAGAGATAGCGTTTGAGACAAGACTGCTTACAGTCGAACCTGATCTAACGGCCACATGCCCAAGACTACCAACTGTACAAATGACCACTTCCCCGTTTGCACTTTGTAAAGAATATTATTCCACTGTCCGAGACATCTACCTCTCTACAACAACCACTTTTCTCTTCAACAGTGGATGGCTGTCTTGGATAATTTTGACTGTACGGTGGTTGGAAGAGGATGCTGGTTGATCCTAACATTTTTCCCATCTTTCTAATCCTTTAGTCTGTTGTCTTGGATTTTTGTCTTTTGACAGAATTGAATGACAAGTATTTTGTCGATGTACGGTTATTTGATTTAAGAAAACTGCTAGAGGTGCCTTGAGTTAGAAATGGGAAATATTTTGTTTCAAATATGGATGTTGTCAGTCAGCAGTTCAGGTGTAACAAGCCCAAAATGATTTTTAAAAAAATTCTGTTGCACTTTCTTTATCTGTCTTATTGGTTGCTTGAGTTTGAGAAACATTTTGTCGAAATTCAAATTCTAAACGTTGAAAAAAAAGCGATACAAGTTACATAATGTAGGTATAATTGTTAAAAGATTGAAACAGTTCTTTTTCTCCCTCCTGAAAAAAAATTTGCCTCTTGTGCTTAGAACATTTGAACAGCTTGTTAACAATATGCCTCTTAACTGTTTGAAAAAAGTCTTGCTAGCTGTCTCTTTATTACATCTTCAGAAGAAATGATGATCAAAATGTCATTATAAATCTGATTGTTGTGTCTTTGACAGTCTTCCCGTGATGGTGTTGGTTCACGGCTCCGATGACTACATTGCCCCAGTCTCCGCCACTCAGAAGTTTGCCTCAGCTCTTGCTGAGATCTCAGCGAGTGTAAAGGTAAGTTGTGTGGGTAGTTTGCGGGTGCTCTGGTGTGGTTTGCTCTTCTTTCCTATCAAACATCTATCTTCCTTATCTCCCCTTCTTCTTTTTTATGTTTGTTACTTTCTTGTAACACCTCTAATCTTCTGGCGCTCATATGACCTTATGCAGTTGCGTGCACCGTAAAACCTCTACTAAAACTAAAAAAGGTAAGTTGGCATGTCTTACTGCATGTGGCAGACACAGGTTTGCCAACTATTCTAAATTTTCTGAGACAGTCCCAGATTCGACAATCCAGAATTTTGAAACCTTATCACATACACTGCACCAAAACCAGTCAGTTCCACATAATGTAATTGTGTTCTTTGTAACATAATCTGGTGTTATAATGTTCGGTGTCCCTGACCGGGTTTTGAAAAAGTTGGCTTGCCTGGTGATAACATCTAAGTTACAGGTAATTAAATTTCAGGAATCTTTTATACTGAAAATGTGATGTTGACATGCTTATTGTAGGGAAGTGCATTCCTTCATTTGGAATAAAGTAGGTAGTAAATTATTTCATTTGTATGAAGTCACCAGTATCATTTTTTTCCATGAGTCTTTCTGTAGAAGGTGCCTTTGGTTTATGCTCGTTATTCTCTTTTGTTCCTTCTGGCACGATGGTGAGTCAATTTCCCTGCCAGCAAAGTTTTGTCCCCGTCGTTTTATGCAAGAAAAATTCTGAAATTATGCAAACTGAGCCCAAAAATGTGAAATTATGCGATTCTGTAAATTTTAACCCAAAAAAAATGAATGATAAAGGAAAATAATCAGAAATTATGCAAAAAATGATCAAATTTTGCTAAATTTTGGGGGTGCATAAAACCACGGGGACAGAAAGTTGAGCAATTTTATTTTGCTGCTGTCTTCGAGATTTTGCTTTTTGGTTCGCCAGTTGATTTATTTTCGTATAAATTTTAAAAAGTCATCCTCCCAGTTCTGAAATGCAAACGATAAAGGTTTGATGATACACAAGTGCTTCTTGATCTAATCTGGTTCTTATTTCATTTAGTACTGAATTGTTTCTGAGTTCTTTATATTGTGAAAATTTTCTTCTCTCAGGTGAAAATCATACCAGACTGCAACCACTATGAAATCTGCGTGGATCTAATGGAGTCTCAGCGCAAATTCTACTCCCACGTCATGGGTGTCGTCATGGAGACTGTCGCAGCTGTGTCTTGATAGTGGCCTGGGTACTTCCTACAGCGGATTTTGTATATTATATAATAATACGAACATCACAGTTTAGATTTGCTGAAGTCTGCACAGTTCAGCTCCCGTTTCAGGCTAAGTCTGTTGTGAATATTACTATGAATTTCTATTTAAGTTTCCAGTGTAGCAGTTAACATGTCATTTAATTGTGAAGCGGTTTTAGTATTTAGACAATACATTCTGACTTTTTTCAACTATATTGAAAAATCTTGTCACGTCTTCTCAGTTTAACGGAGATGCATGAATGGGACTGCTGAACAGTGAAGTAACTTCAAAGGTCCAAATTCCATTTTAAAAAAAAATAATTTTTAGGGAGGGATAATTCCCTGAAAGATCTGTCTTGTTCGTTAAAACGATTGTACAAGTTGTGCCCATTTGAGTTTTTGGCAAAGAGGTAAAAGTCTATATAATATATAATACTGGAGCTCGCAGCAGTGACGTCACACGTGTCAGACAGCGGGGCCTTCTTACCCTCATCGGCATGGCCGGGGTACCCCCATTTACGCGAACAGTCTGAGTCCCCACCCCGCTCCCCACGAGTTCTAGTATATAAAACACCACCCTGCTCCCTTTCAATGCAAGGTTGTAGATTTCCTCCTAAAACAGCCGAGACGCCGCCTCTTGAGTCTCCAAAAGTACTCACTCGTCTGTTGAACTGCGCATGCCTTGCCCCTGAGGTTCATCGTCCCAGAGTGGGCTCACACAGGCGCCGTTGGTTTACGTGTGGGACATCACTGCCACGAATTCTAGTACTAGTACTGAATATAGCCTCTTTGGTTTTTGGTGAGCACACTCCTGTGTGCTTTACTCGGGACAACCGTGACATAATTACAGCCTGTGGTGCCTCTTTGTCTGTACGAGGTTCTGGAATTCCAGAATAAATAATGGATATGCCAGACTTCTTTATCTCTGCTCGACAGAGTATCATGTTCTAGCACAAAAGTGTTGTTTTGGTATTCCTTGCAAGCCTCCCATCCATAAAGTTCCGGAAATCAAGTCTGGAGTCGATGAAAGCCCTTCATTGGCGGACAGACGGACTGCGCGCTTTATGTTCTTTTTATTGGACCCAGATTTTTACAGTGTTGGGATTAGACTCATGGGGTTTGTGTTCTCCTGAGAGCTTTGTCCACAGTAGGGCCATTAGCATTTGCTGTCCGTTTAGTTTTTTTTTTTTGGGGGGGGGGGGGGGTAGGGTTTTATGGGGGGGATTTTTTGGGTACATGTTTTACAACGCTCGCGACTGCATGAGGTCTTATGAGTGTGTGGACACAACCCTGTCAGTTTTATTGGCCGAGTATCGTCAGCATACTGTTGGAACTGCCCATTGTCGTGGAGAGTAATTGCCTTAGATGGGTGTCTTGGAGTGTCTTTATGAGTTGTTTTTTAATTTAATTTGAGGGATGAAGTGGTAAGTGGTCATTTGTACTAGTGATTGTCTTGGCCTGGCAATTATTATTATTATTAAAGCAAGTTTGGCTGTCGTATCAAAGCGATCTTGGATGGAAGGAGCTGTGTGTTGTGATGAACTTTTCTGTTTCCTAAGAGACCATTTATTAGTCTTTCCTTGTGCTTGATATGTAATGAATGACTAGGCTTGCAGATGTTTCATGACTGATCACGTTAGAAAGTGAAATATCTTTTTAAAGTTCAATGTTTATATTTGTGGTTTAAGAGGTATGACTCCATGCCTGAATTGATCGTTTTTTTAGTTTGCTGGTAATCTCGTGACTGGTTTCGTTTCCTGTGACCAGGTTCTGTCTTTCAACACTCTGCAATGTCACCAAGCACTGAGAGCTTTTTTAAAAATATATAAATCTATGTCATATCAAAGAATAAATTATAGCAGCCTCCTGACCCACTTTTTGTGTAAGGTAAAGCTGTTTGTGAGATTTGCACTGATTTACTCGAAACAACAAAGTGCAAGAATTAATCTTTTGGCTTTTTATTGATATCAAAGCTGTTCAGACTCTGTAAAAAGAAACAAAGAAAAAGAACATTTCAAAATTCTACACTGTTCTAGAAAAATAAATTAACTTGTCGTTTTATTCTCTGATATGTCAGCGTATTCTTTGAGCAATTTTTCAGGTGTGAAAACATGTTTTCAATGAAATCCAATGTTGTGACTCTAAAACACTAGTAGATTTTTGTTATTGGGTTGGGATTTTGTTTTTCACCTTTTGAAGAACTATAATGTGAAAGGTGCAGCAATACATCACTTTTGATGTATTTTTGGTTTAAAGGAGCAATAAATCCCTGCGATGTGCATTTTAGTATATAATTATGTTGAGATAAAAGCAAGATGTTTGGGACAACAGAACTGTTTTTCAGATTGAGAAGTTCTGATTTGTTAATATTCATGACATGTTGATAATGTGTGTTACAGTTGTCTTTTAAATACATGATGATTTTAAACAAATGAGACGGGAAATAGAAAAGGGGGTTAACATTGAAATGAGAAGTCACACTTTTAAACAGCTTTAGGAGCGTGCTCAGTTGATTTTGCACACTAAGCTAACCTTATGATCTTTTGTTTTAACACAATTTTTAAAAATATCTTTTAAATCTTTGAAAACAGCCGTCCTAGTAGTCTCTCCTCAGTCCCCTAAAATAATCATCAACAATAAGTACCAGACGTCCATGTTTTGCTTTGAAGTATTAGCTATGTATGTGGATGAAATGCAAGTCTCTCAGAGGACAGCAAGGTCCCATGTATGATTATTTAGACAGAGTTGGGTTTTAAGGGAGTCCTCAGAATGAGCGAGCTTCTTTTTGTAACCAACATCACTTTTGTAATGCTTTTTTTTTCTTGTGCCATGTCCTGCTTTTTTTAAAACACTTTGTAGATGTCAGTGTAACTGTTTGCTTTTTCTTCAATTCCAAGTCAGGGTGTGAAATTTGCACAATGCTTTCACTTTCTACAGGGTCCAGAGTTTTCTTTCAAAGTTTATTTCTAATTAACAAGTGAGGAGATGTGTGTTCACATTTTGCCATAGCTCAACGGTAAATGGCACTTTTAAAATGAAGTTTGAAAAGAATTTTAGAATTTGATTTATTTTTTTTGTTCTAAAAGGAAACCTGTCATAGACAGATTTCAACTGATATTGTTGAAGACTGTCGCCCTTTGTTGAGGAGAGAAGTGGTTGTCTTAGACAGATGGATGTCTTGGACAGTGTTAATATAGGAAAAAACACAAGGGAAAAGGGAATTGATCATTTGCACAGGTGTTTGTCTTGGACAAGTGGCTTTTTAAGTGGATTCGACTGTGAAATGCTTATTACTCAAAAAGACCTTTGTAGTCTCTGGGAGCTGGGAGTGTGCGAGTGTTAATGAGTTGGGAGCCTTTCACTTTTACTTATGAAGTGGCTGACAATAATCAATAATACGTATAAGATACGTACTGTTGGCAAGTGGTTCAAATGGTTGCTTTAAAGGACAAGCGGGCTAGCCCAGATTTCAGGGGTTTCCAGAAATCTTGACCTTCACCAAAAGTGGACATTGCCCTACCTATAGGAGAGGTTTGGTGTCAGTGGTGTGTGTATTTATTTGGTTATAGTTATAGAGAAAACTCTCCTTGTCTTTTAAAGAAACTGAACAAGGGGCAAAAACTTTACCTTCGATTTTCTCAAAACAGCATTTTTCGGGATAGCCCCCTTGCTCTTAAAAGTGACCAAACATTCTAAGCCCAGAACACAAAATTTTTCATGAGAGAAAAAAGTTTTTCATTCTTTCTATAATTGTACCCTACATTGTGTATCTTTTCGTGCTTTGTCATACATTTATAATGTGTATTTTGACTAAATATTTCTTGAGCACACACAGCCCATACCACTTGTTAACACTTTGCAGTCACACAGCTGGCAGTACAAAATACCCTGTCTGGTCACCCAGCCAGGAGAGTGACTGCAACGGACTTCTTGAACTGCGTCAGGTGACCGGAACGTATAATTTTCACTGTCGCATTATTGCACCAAGTGACCGCAAAGTGTTGAGAAACTAATTATTTTAATTTAAAAATTTGGGGCTTGGTACATCTGCTGAACAGCTGGCCAACGATTTGTAAACCTTGCCCTCTTCAAGGCTGTGATATTGCAAAAGTATCTAACCATGAGCATATCCGTGAAAGACGAAACGAGATGTATCCATACTGATAGTTGATATTTTGCTAAATCCCAAGTTGGGAAAGTATAAAGTTTGTAACCAAGCAATGCTTTTGATAGTTTTAGGTTACTTCTATGTATATTTTGCTCTGATTTATCTCTGTACATGAAACCCTGAGCAGTGTACCTTTCTTGACAGTCAAATGACAATGCAATAATGGTGGTAGTAAATGACTTGAATGAGGAGCCAAATGTCGATAGTTATTCTCTGATTCCTTTCAGTCAGATTGCACATATACAGTCAACTTTCTCACTCATACTGAACAATCAGACTGACTTTAATCGTACTCAGCTCCTTGCTGTACCATGTAGTATGATGTTGTGCTGTGCAGCTTACAATGTACTGCCGGCATATTCTGTGGATAATTGGTCTTATCTGCCGGAGCAGGTGTCTTAGATGCACTCTGTTACCCTGAATGTTTGAAATCAGCTAAAGGCCTTCATTTACTCTTTTCTGAGCTTGATGTGGGTGTTGATTATTATCTGACTACTTCATTCTCTTCATTCCTCAGTGGCGGGTGAGTTTGGCATTTACGTTACAGCTCCTTGACCATGGTATTCGAGTTCAAGGCTCGTGATACCAAGTCCAGGCAGGATGTGCATACATATTTATTATTATGTGTTAATACTGACTTATTGCTACGGTACCACACGCGATGTAGAGGTGTTATGGGTGGTTGGTGGGAGCTTTGGTGTGGTTTGCTCCTTCTTCCCTAAAGTATGATATCAAACACTGACTGTCCTTATCTCTCATCCTTCTTTCCTTAAGTCCTGTGCAGTTTACTCTCTATTTACTATTCTTATCTTCGGCACTTACATGACCTGTTTGTGTCGCAAGTGCTATAAAAAAAATTTAACTGAAGTTCAAAGAGAGGTGTCGGGTCATGAAAGAAGGTTTTGCATTTTGTTAATTAATCATATCTCCCGTGGGATGACGTCAATTCTCTCTGGATATATCTTTAAATTTAAAGGCTCTCCAGAAATCAGCATCTTTTCAAAATGGTTAGGCTCTTTGTCTTTCCCGCAAATGATTCAAGTTCCGTTTCCTTCTACAGAAGATATTTTGATATTGCACTGAGTATCTCCACCTGTCTGTTGGGAAGTTGTGTCTCTCTAGGCCTGGTCTGGGCCTTACCGGCAAGGCTTGAGCAGCCCGCCTCATAAGAAGAGAGAGTGATCTATGTTTTGTACATGTATTATATACATACATGGATATGGGCATGTGAAATATTCAAATGAATTTATCATTCTTTCCAGGAGAATGGGAAAAGTCTTTTGACATAAACTGTCAATTATACGATGGTTCTTAATCTTGTTTTTCCCCACCCTTTCTCACATACAACTTTGATTTTAAAAAAAAATTTTTTTTCATTCTTCCCTTTGCACTACTCTGTCTCTTCCTTTGCTCTGGTGGATGCTTTTCTTCCTTCCCTTTACTCATACGTGCTTGCTGCTCACTTCTTCAATTATATTGTAAACCAAGCTTGCTATGCAGTACCGTATGTGGTATTTTCATGTTTCTCAGAGTCTTTCTTCACCAGTGTGGATGAGTTAGTTTAAGCTTTTTCTTTTTTTTCTGTTGAATACAGAGGGTCAAACTTCTTCTAACACCAAGTTTTGTGTTGTCAATGAAAAGTGATTTGATTTTTATTTAAAGTGAAAAGTATGTGTTTTCCCCAAGGCGATCAACTTGTTTCATTTTTAAGTAAGTGTTTGTTTAAGCTGCTGTGTTGATTTTCCTGTAGATCTAAGTCATGTTGTATTTTTTAAAATTTGTTTTATGCTGGAACCAAAAGAAATACTTTATTAAATTAGTTAATTTTTGTTATGATCTTGTAATCGTTTTAATGTGAGAGCAGTGTTAATTACCTATTTTTGTTTTCTTACAGGATTTTTTAAAAGTCAAAGGGAAAGTAAAGCTTGAAAGAAGTTAATTGAGACAGGCTGAACGCTGAGAAAGATTACGCTCAGTAACAGTGGTGAAATGAATCTTCCTTATTGGTGACCAGTCAAATGGATGTAATATGCTGGATGTCCATGTCATCACCATCTGAGTTGAATGGCCTCAGCTTGAATTTTGCATGGTTTTAATTCTATAAATAATTTAATATTCAGTCCCCAAAGGTATTGCCCGTCTTTATGAAAAATCATATGGACCGATGGGAAAGTTTTTTGCCCTCAAGAACAAGTATGACCCAAATAATTATGGGTCAGTATGAAAGTAAAAGTTCTGATTCATTTTTGGGTCAAGATGTACTACTTGCTTGCAAATTGGGAAATATAACAAGCCTTTTATTGAGGACCAAGACAGTGCACACAATCTTTGCTTATTGAAGGGCAGCCCATCTGCCAAGTGTATATCCATATATAATAGTAATTCCAGCCTTGGCTGCAATAGTTTATACCAGATTCTGTGGTGTAGCTGTTAGGTGCTTAGCTGTTACACACAGGAGACCCGAATTCAATTCTGAAGTGCGGAGGAATTTTTATCGAGTATCTTTTTCTGCTGGGATGTTGTATCCCTATCAGCTTGGGTTTGCTCTGACAGAGAGGATCTGAAGCCCGCCTCATAAATTATCTAAATTGTATTGATGGGGCGCAAAAGCACCTACATAAAAAAAAAATAATTTAAAAAAGTTTTGGCTAGTGATTACATTTTATGTGATTGAACTGGGTGCCTCATAGCAGTAGCTAGGCTGACATACTGGATAACAATGGGATATACCTGGTTTGAGGCCTTAAATGGGCATTCTAGAACCATTCATCCAAATTTGGGGGTTCTTTTTGACGCTCCACGTGTAATGTTTCATTCAGAGATTAGCAGTAACAGTGTTTGAAAAAAGCATAAACCGTAGTGTACCGCCTTGGAGTTGTCAGTTGTTAAATTATTTCATTTTTCGTCAAGTAGGAGCAAGTCTATCCATCTCTGTATGATATGGTCATGTCACTGGTAGGGACTAATGAAGAGCATAGCTCTCTGAACAAGAACTATTGAATACCATGTTACATAAGCACCATATTTGGATGAAATAAGCATTCAGTTGAATGCCTCTTGGAAAAACCTAAAAGTAGGCCTACTGCTTTCATTTGTACATGTATTTATGTATACTTGTACAAGAGTTATAATGTTTCTATTTTAAAGCCCACTGTTAACAGTAGCACTACTATACTATAGTAACTATTTGCCTTTAGATGCATGTGCTTTTGGTGCCCAACAATGTCTTTAACTTAAACTCATAGAGCAGGCTACCTTCTGTACTGCTATAGCTGTGTGGACTGGAAGCTCAGTACCTTCCCCTAGTTTTTTTTGCCTTTCTCAGTAGAGGTTAGGGTTTTCTTGAGGGGTGGGGGGAAACGTATTGTGCTTTCATGTTCAAATCTGTTTAAATGGGTCTGGCATAATTAATCATTAGCTTTTGTTCCTACATTTTAATGTTTTCTCACGTGAAAATGCATAGTATGAAAAGATGTTTCTTAAAATCTTTTCAAATTTTTTATCTTGATGACTGAAAACCAGACACTTTTTGTTCTAAGCTAGTGATAGTGAATGGACATCAGTTGAATCAGACTTGGTAGAAGGCTTTCTAACCTAAATATTGTTGTTAACGCACATTATCTTTAAGGTTATTCTTCTGTACGGTTTGTGTGTGGCCTAGACTGTGCACCAGTTGGCAGATGTTTGGCACAGTTTATTAACATTGATGAATGCATGTGTATTGTGAAATAAAAACTCTTTGATTTGTAATAGTTGTTTTTGTTTGTTTGGTGGGGGTTTTCTCGGGCATATATGCCTAAAATGACCTCATTCAAAACTTCATTTCTTTCCATCTGTTGCAATGACTCGGTGGATTCAAGAAGTAAATAATCCAGGAGCCATAGAAGGGTGTCGGACCCATGGTTCAAGTTCTGCCTCTCTAAAGGAGGTATGAAAGTCAAGAAAAGCAAAAAGCTGTCTTCTGGAAATCTGAGACAAATGTACCGGTACATGAAATTTTATATAATGTGGCACCCTCTTCTCATTTCAATGACAGTGTTTGTTCATTACAACAATGACACACACAACCCATAATCTCTCAAAGTGAAAAAACAAAGATTTAAAAAACATTAATGTTTGAAGAACCAAGCTTTATTTTGACACATGAAACAGAAGCAATAACATTAACAATTCAGTCCCAACATTGTTGCTCCTTGAAGAACAGCCTGAAGCTTTGTTCCAATGAACAGCTCAAATATTAATTCTTCACAGGATCTCATCCCAAATATCTAGAGTCAGGTGAACCATGCATCAAAAATAGTTTTCATGGAAAACAAACAGTATCACAAACTATAAAATTCATCTTATTATAAGAAGCATCATCAGCCATTGAGTCTGTAATTGAGGAAAGCATTAATTTAAATGTGATTTATCTAAAAAAAAATAATTTCATATATGAAACAGAATCCATATCAATGTCCGGCATTTTGTTGATTTGCATAATTTGCTGCCGACAAAAAAGCAAGATGACCTTTGGGACACTTGTTGGCATAATGGCCTTTCTCTCCACACTGAAAATAAAATGGAGAAAAAAAAAGAGGTTGATTAAAATTATTATACATTATAATTATAGTAACATGTGATCAGATTTTGTACATGCACTCCGTTAAATATACTATTCGCAAAGTAGCAAGAATTTCATCTACAATATCAAGAAAAGTATTTTTCTCTTTTTTTGATGTGACAACTATTCCATCATATAATTGTGAATGTCAAGATATACTTTGTAAAGCAAACGTAAGTAGACTTCAGACGCTGCTTTTTCAAAGCCAATTTTCTTATTCCTGCAGTCACCATTTATCCAGTTGATTAGAGAATACACCACCAGCCTTTGTAACAAAGACAATATGAGGCCTTCAGTATAGCCAAGCCGATGTAAAAAGTTGTCAAGAGACGGCAATGACGTTTCATCTAAATCTCCACATAAATGGCATTTTGAGCTGCTCCAAGAAACTAAATAATCATATATTTTAAAAGGTCGCTTTATCAGATTAATTCGAAAGGAAGACACAGGAAACTGAATAAGTATTTTTATTAGTCTTTTCTTGTCATATTTGCAGACAGTAAAAAAATCTATAACAGACTTCAGTTTCCTAAACCAACAGGGATCAGAACCAGACCAAACAAAGGCAAACATTACCATTTCTGAGGCAATCTTTTTTTCAGTTATGAGCGTGACATGAGTCAGCCCATTTACAATTCTACTAAAACTACTATGCTTGAACGAGAAAGGTCCCCCCTTTGGGAATGACCTAAAGACACTACAGTCAGTGGCACTGCCGCGGGGGGTTGAGCCAATCTTTAGTTATAAAAAACATGAAGGTATAATATAATTAATAACAAGAACCAAAGCACAGACGGAAGTCAAAATGACCATTCAGCTAATCCAGAATTTTCTACAATGTTTTTTTTTATCTATATGAAAAGAAAACGCATGACTGCTAAACAAATTACTTAAAAGGACATAAAAACCTGAACAGTAAGCTAGAAGCCAGTATAATTTTACCACTGTAAAATACAAATAGGTTTCAACATAGTCCAAGGCCAAAATATTCTGCTCTTATAGCATAATATATATATATATATATATATATATATATATATATATATATATATATATATATCATTGGCTGAGGACAGGATGTGACTCTGTCTATAGTCCTTGTTTCAAGAAAAATGAATTTTTAGGACAGGGTGAAATAGGCAACCTTGGACATGGACACATTAGGAACTGTAATTGTTGCAAAGCAACAGGGAAGACTAGTTTGGAATTAGATATTTACAGACATGATGCAATATCACTTGAATGCCTCCATTTCGCTATTTTAGGCATTTTGGCCAAAATGGACTTCTGGCTCTCAGCCCATAAAAATATCTTTATCAACTTCGTGTCATGAGAATTAAATTTAGCAATAAAAAAAATAAAATTGCTCAGAGAAAACCAAGAGATGTCTGGAACATACCTTGTAGCAGGTGATCTGATCCATGGGCCTCCTCTCCCGAGGTTGGTGCTGGTTGAACTGCTGGTGCTGTGCGTTGTGCCCGTAGGAGCCATGTCCTGACATCTGCTGAGCCCCTGAGGCGTCGGACAGGGCCTGAACGGGGGAGAAGAACATCCACAAACTGACATATCATATCTATTTGTATTGTAGGTTATTCAGTTATTGTCTTTCACAACATTTTCCGTCCAGCACTGGAGGAAAAATTTTGTTTTTACTAGGGTTGAAAGTAGCTGTCATTTCTGTTTTTAAATTAAATAAGATGAATATTTGGAGAGATTTTCTTTTGGTCGGTCGAAACACAAGGTTTTAAATTACTGTTGCATTGTATTGTAAAGTGCTCAGAGCCTGTGTACTTTAATCAGGGTTGAAGGCTATATAAATGTCATTTATTATTATTATTACTATTATTAGCTCTTGTTTGACTCAAACATATCTGGTATGGACGTTAAAGTGTAGGGTCCCACCTCTTATTTGAATAATTAAAACGAAATATAAGTCTGAGTTTGATGAACAGAGAGGCACAAATACAAATGTAAAAAACTTGGGAAAAGCAAAACCGGTAGACTAAAAAAAAAACCTAAGTAGAGAGTAAAGAAGTAAAAGCTACCACTGGTGCTCTCAAAGATCCCGCTTTGGTACGGAAAGGGAAGTTAAGCCAATGGGTCGGCGTTTCAACAGATGGAGGCGCTGGTGAGTCTTTTGAGCAAGACGGTGTTTGATGTACTTTTCTAATACAACCTTTATTTTGAAGTGTGCAAAGGGAACACACAGGGCAAGCATCATTTTTTAAATTTTCATCGAAAGGTGTCCAGATGTGTGAACTTTCTTCAATATTTTTTTGTGCAGCAGCTAGGGTTGCTTCTCAAAATTTTAAGGTGTATATGCGCTGTTGGCCTACACATTTGTTGCACATTGTACGGGATGTGTGTCAGCACTATTCCAGTCCACGTTCACATGATAGAGAACGAGTAGGTCATTCTTAAAGTTTACTCAAAAATATTTGCTCTAGTCTGCCTTCTTAACCTTTTGACTTTTGGCCCCGCACATTCTACATAATTTTTTTTAACACTCAAGGTGTAGTTCCCGCGTGTATTCCATTTTCACTCTGAGAGCAGACTCTCGTAACACGTGTCGTCACAGAATCACAGAAAGTGAAAGCGGGACCTCAGCTGAATACAGCACGGGCAGCGCGGCGGCCAGGAAAATATTACGGGGTAAAGTAACAAAACTCGCCGTCCTGCTTAAGTTTTTCAACCAACCAAAACAATTTTTTCACAAATAACCTCCTTACTAACTCTTAATACAGCAGATAAAAAACTGGTTACAATCTGAAGTTCACGAATGGGAAAAAAATCCTGATTTTGGAGGAATCCGAGAAATATGTGCTCCACAAGGTAGGCTTAAGTACAGAGGCAGTGTGTGTACACGATTAGAACTAGAACCAAACTAAAGGATGCGTGTTATTTGGGAGAATCTGAGCTTTCATTTGATACCTCACACTCCCATAGAGATAGATAAGAGAGGACATTTACAGCGGTCTAAATCAAGTGAAAATTACAGACTTTCTAACCAAAATCGGCTAACAGCACTATCGCCCAGGAAGAGATGCGCGGCCCGACTGTCAGGTGGGATTTATGACCCCGGGAGGTCAGCGGACGGGTTAAACTAAGTGCTCCGCAAGGATAGTGGAACTGAACAGCCGTGAGGCCTTTATGATAGATACTCAGATACTGGACTTCAAGTATGTGGTGATTGAGAAGAGGAAGAAGAAGAAGATAGTGAACTTCTAGGACAGACATAGAATTTAAATTTTGCTCATCAAGAAAAGTCATGTTAAGTTTTCAAGTAACTTGATCTACTTAGGGTCGCTTTTAAGCACAAGGGGGCTATCTCAAAAAATGCTTTTCTGAGAAAATTGAAGCTAAAGTTTTTGCCCTTTGTTCAGTTTCTTTAAAAGACAAGGAGAGTTTTCTCGATAACCAAACAAATACACACACCAAGGAAACCAAACTTCTCCTATAGGTAGGGTAATGTAGAAACCCCGGAAATCAGGGTTAGCCCGCTTGTCCTTAAAAGCGACCGTATATGTGTTTGGTTGTTGAATATCACTTATGTTGCAGGAATACTTACGCCTCCCTGTTTATTAGCATGACACTGTATAGCTTTATGTCCCGGCTGCATACACACATGGCAAAGAATGTTCTGTTTCTTTTGAGCAAATACTGGATCAGGCTCTGGGATTTTGAAGGAAGGACTGGGAAGAGAAATAATAGAAAAAACACATATATGTATAAGTAAAACTATTTTTGAAAATAAAAATAAAGTTGTGGTTATTGTAGTTCTTTTTCTCCAGTTGCAATTCTCACCAATACAGTCGACTATGGATGAGTTGATGCCGTCGGGGGAGTGAAGAATATACCAACTTATCCACAGTCCAATATAACCGTTGGGAACTGTAAAATAGAAGAGGTGCTGGGACCCGAAAAAAAAAAAATCCACTTAACCGAAGACCAACCCAAGAGACTTTAACACAAGCGGAGTTGACTGTATTAACCCTATCCATACGCCTTGGGGTCATTTTGTACTTCCAGTGTTGTATTCTTCACATTTTAGAATACTTCTAGTACAAAGATCTCTTCGAAACTTTCAGTATTTTTCCAAAAATCATTTTGACAGACTGCTATGCAAAGCGTACGAAACGGATTAACAAGTAATTTCCTCTTTGGAAAGTGGTAGCACAGAGTTCCCCACGTCGTATAGATACAATAGTACAACATGACGTACGGATATGGTTAATCGTAACATATTTTCATAACATGCGAGAAGGGAAAACTAAATTAGGTGCATGCTCTTATGTCTTAGCGGGTGGTTGGCGTGTGCTCCGGTGTGGTTCGCTCCTTCTTTCCTATCGAACATATCTATCATCCTTCCTGATCTCTCCTACTTCTTTTCTGTGTTTGTTACTCTCTTGCAACACTTCTAATCTTCAGCACTTATATGCTTATATGACTTTATTGTGTAACAAGTGGTGTAAAACTCTAACTAAAAAAAAAACAGCTTTATACTTTGAGTTGCATAAATAACACTACACAAAAGTTTCCGATAACCTGACACTCTGGGACATATCATTTAGAACTGAACTAGACAAAATCAACATTAATTAAACTGCGACTGAAAAGTTCCTGAAAACGACTTTGCTTCCAACTGTAGAAAAGCCATCTGTCCTACTCTGAGCACGCAAGTGAAAATATGAAACCCAATTAACCACAAAACAAGTTTTTATAATAGTAAGGCACTAGGGTCCTCTTAGCACACGATTCCCGGCTGAGTGGAAACATTCAAGGAAAGACGAGAAAGATTTAAACTCTAACCACATTCAAACCTCCCCCAAATTGGCAAACAAGCTTTCTGTTCCATTACTACAACAAATAAATTTAGCCACCTCTTAGCTAAAAGTGAAACGTTACTAGGAAAATAATAAAAGCAATTTTTCCCACAGTATGACAACAGCGCACTGCAAAATATTCTCATACTCATACTTTAAAAAGAAATACTAATTAAATCTGGCCAAAATAATAAGGAAATATTCTCACTGGACATATTTGCAGTTGGGGCCGTCTAAGCAGAATCCATTCAGGAAGCACTGGCACATGATACGCCGGACATGTCGATTTTTGCAATTAGGACCTGTAAAATTGGAAATTTATTGATATTGGGATAAACAGAATGGTAAAGTTAAACCTCAGACACTAGACTATATAGAGCTCATTCTGTCAATTCTAATCTGTTTTCACATACAGTAGCCTACTATCACATTCAATTTCAACTAAACAAGGTCTAAGGAAGATAGTGATATAATGTTTTACTTCTAGCTCAAAAAGACAGAGATCATCCAAGCAAAAATACATTAATAAATAGATAAAAATAAAGACCCTACTTTCTGAAAGATTTTTAACAAAAATAAATTATTATATTCTAAACATCAAATCAAAACTGTGAGCAAACAAAGGCAATTACCCATTTTAAACAACGTCAGAGTAAAAAAAGTCAGGGAAACCTGGCGACCCGTTCACCGTCAGCGAAAATGTTTTAAAAAAATAAAGTACTTACCATGTCGGCAGAACCCTCTGTCGTACCACGGGCAGTCTCTAACTTTATTTTCAGGATCAATGTGAAGAAAGGGACATTCTTTGTTGTTACACTGACCTGTTGATTAAGAATATTTGTTTTTCCCTTTTAGAACACAAAAAACGGTGGAATAAAAAAAGATGAAAAACATTACAAAGCAATTATGTTTGTCAATACAGCAGAACACAATTTACAAGAATGTGAATGTACCTTTATAACAAAGCTTTTTCTTTTCAAATTTATAGCATCCATTATCAAACATGCACAATTATTTCTATAAACATAAAATTCTCCAATAAAAACAAATATATATTTAAAAAATGAAAAGCAATCTTTAATCTAACCATACAGTCAGGCATGGGTAACTGAAACATGTCCAGGATTGAGTAATGTTTTTGACACATCTATAATTTGGGTTAACCAATACCAAAATATTAAAGAAGATATCAGTTAAGGATGGTAAAGTGTACGAGCTGTCTGTAACTTTGAATTGTCCATTTTTGAGTTGTCTATGCCTGACAGTACATAGAAAAAGTATCATACACTACTTTAAATCAGCTACAACCCCCATCCCCCTTTCTCCCAATAAGAAAACACCAACTGCATCAAAATACAAGACCGCAAAGTGCATTTTTTTCACTGGCCTTGTTCAATTTCCTCATCAACACGACTGGCACACTAGAATGACAGAAACTTAGCATGCATCATGCACAAGCAATTAATTATAAGCCAGGAACAGCATTAAATTAAGGAAAAGGGGGCAGAACCCAGAAAAGGAACTTACAACAACGACACAAAATAAGCCTGACTATGAACCACCAGTTTGGCGGGAACCTACCAAACTTTGAGAAGAAAAAACACTCGGGCATCTTTGACATATCAAACTCGTGTAAAAATTCACAGTCATCTCCTTTCTTGCACAGGCCTCTGAGCCAGTGTTTGCACACGACAGATCTGTCTCCCTTGATGTGTCGGAAGGGACAAGCTGAGCCCCTGTTGCAGTTTGCTGTCAAAAAGTAGGTGCATATGGCTGCTCCAGATTCTGTGAAAGAAAATAATTGTTTAAAATATAGAAGATGAAATTTTATAATTAACCTTTCTTTTTCACTCGTCCTCCTTTCTTTATTTTATTAGTACTCACACCGCTAATATTTTAAGAGTATTTTATCCAGATGTGCCAACCACTTTTTTACCCAAAAAAGTTTTCCTCAAAATCCTCCCAAAACATATATGAGTACCAGAAACTAAATTTTCAAAGTAGCTGTAAGCCAAATTTATCTGTTCCACTTGAAAGGCCTCCACTGAGCATTTTGGTACCATTCTTTAACCTCCCAGTCAATTTTTAAGAAAATGGTAGTTCTTTAAAATTTGATCAAATTTGTTAGAGTAAGTCACTGGCTACAACCCCATGTTTGACAGGGTGACCCCAGTCTACCTCCCATAACTTTTTTATTTTTATGAATATTTCCCCATGAATTTCTCCATCCAGTACATTGAACCACATTTCTATTGATATAATTTTTTAGGGGGAATTTCATTGAGAGATAGATTAAGAAAAGTTGGAGTTACTAACATGATGCCAAAAACAACATCACAAAACAACATAAATAAACAACACACATGTGCATGTTTCAAGTAATGATAAACTGAGACAAAAAAATGGGGATTCATTTTGTGCGAGGGTTTGCGGGTAAAGAGGAAGTGACAAAAAAGGCTTTTCCAACCTTATACAAGGCTCGTACAATCCATATTCATGTAAGCCCATCTGTGTAAAACTGCCAATAAATCATTTTTGGGCGGCAGATGTGTTAAGATTTTATAAGAAAGATAATTTACTTAGGCTATTCCCAGAGGAAAATTTTTCTTTGCTGTACACAGGAGCAAAAATATCTGGGGGGGGGTTTAATTAATATTTTAGTTAGGTTTGAAATTTTCTTGAAAGTACTTGATTTGCGACAATTTTTGTGCCTTTGTGTGTGCTCTTCAGCAAATAATACTGCAGTTTGACCCCGAAACAATCTGCGCGTGGGAGTGAAAGTAAAAATTTACCCCCAAGTCCCAAGCCTTAGCCTCAGCCTAAGTTAGCGAAATAAGTGCGGGCACACACTGTCCCCTATCGCCAAACACTTAAGGTGTGCGGGGGGGGAGGCGTTCGGTCACCAAATACAGACCAATGAGCGCGTATGGTCCCCTAGCGCCAAGCACTAGGGGCACGTACAGCCGCCTAGATTCTAGCGCCAAACACTGGGGAGGGGGCGTACAACACAGACAGTCCCCTTGGTAACAAGATCAGCTAAACATTAAATTTTGTCAGTGTATTTATATACGCAGTGGTTATTTTTACGTCGAGCCGTAAAGATAGCCTCCCGCGCTATTTTTACGGCGAGCCATAAAGATGGCCTCCAGGGCTATTTTTACGGTGGTCACAAACTGATGACGTAGAACACCTTTTTCAGTCTTATAAATTCCGTCTTGGCTTGTAGGCCTCCTAGTAGGCTACTACCTTATTTGTTATTTTATACTACCTTTTACTAAATGACTAAACTAATGTAACATACTTTGTGCTGGTTAAAACCGAGAGTAAAGCATTATAATTAAATGTCCTCTATTATTTGTATTATCATAATTATAGTCTTTATTCTGGACTTAAACAATTCAATGTTTTTATGTTCTTTACTTGGACCTTGTTGTTGTGGGATTCTTTCAAATAATAAAATAGATCGCATTTTTTAAGTTTTTGTGTTTTGTTTTCTGATGCGCTCATATTATTACTGTCCATTTTACGGGGAACAGCTCACCCCAAGGGTGATTCTTTTTCCGATTCATATAGGAAAAAAAATTATACGAGCATAAGAAATTTATAATGAAGAAAGTACATTTTGATAAGTCCGAAAATATGAAAGTTGCCATGGAATGGAAACAGCACCAACATGCAAAACAAACAATAATTTTTAAAAACCGAAGGCTTCTTACTCTCTTACAAAATTGCAGGAAAATTGGTGGAATGGTAGATACAAATGCTATGGTCAATCGTACTGAGCAAAATTTTGATATTTGAATATTAAAAAAAGATGTTCCTGTACCCTGATATTGCATCACAATAATTAATAAATCAATCATTGTGAACAAAAAAACAAAAACATTTTTACACCTCTATCAAAAATCTGCTCAGTGCAAAGGTAGGAGGAACATTTTAAAGGCATTCCCAAGGCGAAAAGTGTTAACTCCAAAATGGCCGTTCTTCTTGTGGGTGTGGTACATGTAGTGATGTCAGTGAATGAGAAGATGATGCTGGCAGTGGCAGTGATGATGGTAATGATAGTGACGAGGAGGTGATGGTGGTGGTGATGATAAAGAGAGGGTGAATGATGATGGTGGGGAGAAGAAGGAAGAGGTGGTGGTGGAGGAAGGGAGATGGAAGATGAAGAAGAGAATAGAATGATGGTGAAGAGGAGGAAATGGAAAACCTATGGGGCTGTTCAAATACACACTTTTGGGGACTTTTTTAAAACACAAAACCCAATATAATACCACTTTTCTCACTTGATTCCAACCCCCACCCACACCAATTTAATATTAGTACTTTTTTCGATCTTCAACTTCCATTATTATTTTAAAGATACCTGTACTAGATCTAGATCTAGATTCTAGACTCTAGATCTATACACGTGGCTTTTTTTTACCAGCTTGTAAAATATAATTTCAGTTAATACAATTTAATCAAACCTTAATATGAACTAGAAAGAACGCATATATGTGGAAGACATCGAGGCTCTTGTCAATGTAATAGGTACATGCCTTACAAATAAAAGACATCAAGACATTAAAAGATCAACAAACGAAGTGGCTAGCCGTACTTAGATCTAGGTTTGGCCCTATCGACTCAAGCCTAAGTACACAGGTCTCATTAGATCTAGAATCTAGTAATTATTCAGGTTCAAATACATGCAAGTCAGTAAGGCACCTTTTTGTTTCGTCTGAAATACAAATACTTTAGGCATTGCAAACTAAAAATTTCATTTACAATTTAGCCATCTATATTAAGTACGGCTAGCCTGACAGTCTAGCCGTACTTAATATATTGATGGCTGAATTGTAAATGAAAATTTTAGTTTGCAATGCCTAAAGTATTTGTATTTCAGACAAAACCAAAAGGTGCCTTACTGACTTGCATGTATTTAAACCTGAATAATTACTAGATCTAGATCTAATGAGACCTGTGTACTTAACAGGCTTGAGTCGATTGGGCCAAACCTAGATCTAAGTACGGCTAGACTCTCAGTACGGCTAGCCACTTCGCATAAAAATAGCCTGGGACTCACTGGGAGGCTATCTTTACCGCTCACCATAAAAATAGCCACTGCGATTTATATATTTCTACTTAAAAGATACATACTGTCCATGCCAGGAAACGGCAACAACTGGGCTCCTTTTTGTAGCTCTAACGCTATTTCAATATCAAATTTGATACAGTCCACTGGGGCCACGATCTCCTGCATCTTGGAATCTCTTCAGATCACTGACAAGAGATAAACATAAGATAATAACAGGAAAGAACCACAAAACACACAACAGGGTGTCTTCAAAATCCGACACAGTGGTTTACGGTTCTGTATCTAAGTATGTTATGGGTTTAATGGCAGTTAAATTGTTACATCTACGCGAAAACCTTGTTGACAATAAAAATCAAAGCTAAGTGAGGAAATAGTGATGGGCAGGTATCGATATTAGGTACTTGATACTTAGATACCTATAGATATCGGTATCGGTACCGATACCTGCTCTAAACATCGATACCTATGTGTTATTTATCCCAGGGCTGCCAAAGCAAGTGACTTGGGCCTTGAAAATTTTTTGTTTATCAAAACTGTGGGGGGGGGGGGGGGGGGGGAGCATTTTAAATGAATCTAGTGATTTTTTAACAAAAAGAGAGAAGTTTTTCATGAAATCTATCTGGTGATTTTGCAAAATCCTCACTGACAACCCTGATTTATCCTCATTGGTTTAATTTAAAGTTGCTAAAAATCTGGTAAATTGAATTACCTTTTTAGAACTCTTGTGTTTTTATTTTCAAATTACTAACATTTTCTGCAAAGCTGACTTTCCTCCCATACTTCACTTAGTTTTTGTTTTTATTCTCATATTTGGGTATTTATTTCTCTCTCTCTCTCTCTTTTACAAATAATTTTTGTTTGAGTCTCAGCTAAATAGTCACAACTTGTCTAGACACGATTATCTAAATACTTGGAAAAGTATAGTTGTACTTTTGTCTTTACTGGTACTTATTATCCCCGGCGTATGTTACTTATAGCAAAAGGGTCGATAGCAAAATAGCATTAGGTATCGAGGTATCGGTATCGATACCTTGAAAAAGTACTAGGTATCGACATCGATACCTAAATTGTGGTATCAGCCCAGCACTATGAGGAAATCAAGAAATTTCTAGTAGCTTCCCCTTGCTCGTAGTTTTTTTTTAAAGTACAATTTTTAACATTCAAAATTTGAAAAACAAATATAAATAAAATATTTTGATAAACGATATTGTATTCATCTAACTCTCAGAAAAATGTCAAAATGGATAAATCAGTGTTATTTTATTTTAGATATTTTTTATATGAATAGACTTAGATTCTAGTAAAGTATTAAGTCGTAGTTTCCAAACAAAAATGTCAAAGTCCCCCTTTAATTGCCACGTTGTCTTCCAAAAATTTTTTTAGATAATAAAATGTCTCCATTGTCACTTGTCAGGAACCAATCTCACTTTTAAAATCAACACTGCAGTTATTGATATTTATCCTATAGGTCGCTCACTTTTCTAGGTCTCGTTACAGAGTTAGATTTAAATCAACGTACAATTACGTACATTTTCTTATCTTCAGAGTAAAACTTGAAGTAAAACTGGCAACCTTCTTTGACTTCCTTGTTTACAGTACAAAGCCACACCTACAAGAGCATAACAGTGTGTACCTTTAGAAAGACAAAAACGAAAGTAGACTAGATCTACTTTGAACACCATTTATAAGCATTCTTCAGTTTGTTTGATGATGGCACTCATTAATCCCCTACGTGTGCTGGCATTCGTAAGAGATAAACTAGAGACATAGTCAAAATGAATAACGAGATTGTTTTGAGGACAAGTAAAGGCGAATATCATTTGGAAAGTGCAGTTTGTGGGTAAGTAGCCTTTAAAAGTCTAATAAGCCTAAGGCCCTGAGCCTGAGATAAAGTGTGACCAACATGTGAACCGTCTGTCTAACCAAAATTTGTCTTTGTTTTTTCTCTTCCTAGAGCTGTGTACCTGAACATATGTAGACCCACTGAAGCCAATGGAATCCGGATCACTTTTAAAGGAGGAGAAAAATGTAAGCTGTGACTGTGAGCCTTTGAATTCATTTTTTAAAACGAAATGTATACAGGCCCAGTAACCGGGAACAAATTCACGAAGTATACAGACCCGGTATGGGAACTCTTTTGTGATTTCGGAAAGTTTCAGCACCCAGACCCGGTAGTGTGTGTGTGTGTGTGTGAGAGAGAGAGAGAGAGAGAGACGAAAGAGAAAGAGAAAGACGAGAGAGAGAGAGAGATTCTTGTTCTTTTCTTCAAATTGTAATTCCTCCAACTCCAAAACAGAGGAAAAACGGCCGTTCATCGAAAAGACATCCGCAATCTTCATTTAAATTTAGATCTAGAATCTAGATCTAGGCTAGCCTCGAAACTAGATCAATGATTTATGTCTGTCTAGATCTGGACCTAGGCCATAGATCTAGAAGAACCTAGGTCTACCCTGAGCCAAGAGGGCGCTGAAACTTTCCGAAATCACAAAAGAGTTCCCCTACCGGGTATGTATACTTTGTGACTTTGTTCCCGGTTACCGGGTCTGTATACACTCCCTTTTTTTAAAGGGACTCACTGTATCATTTCTGCCTATTTTTCTCAGATAACTCTGATATATTTTTTATTTTTACCCTCTTATCAAGTCCCTCATCAATGCAACATATCATATTATGTTGTTATGTTTGCGTATACAACGCATCTCTCTCTCTCTCTCTCTCTCTCTCTCTCTCCCACTCTCTCTCTCTCTCTCCCACTCTCTCTCTATCTATCTCCCACTCTCTCTACTCTCTATCTCCCACTCTCTCTACTCTCTATCTATCTCTCTCTCTCGTTCCTTTCTCACTTTACCTTTTTTACGACTCTGTCTGTCAGTACGTCTCTAATATAGTCTATTAGTTTGTCTCTTTGTCTGACTGTATGTACTGTATAATATTAATGTATATATGTGTATATATATGTTTGTTTTTTAAAATCAAATAACACAGTAGTCATATCAGATCTCTCTCTGACTTTTGCAGGTTGTTATGAGTATGAGGATGATGATGGGAAAAAGAAACAACTGAAAAGTGAATCTACTCATGTGGACTTCTCGGACGTTACCCTCTTCTCGCAGAATGGTTTGTTTAGCCTTTGAGTTTTTGCTTCTTCTTTTTTTCGGCATTGAGCACTTTTAAAGTAAAGGTTACTGTGCTAGAATATTGTTCATCTGACTTGAATATTGTAGAATTTAGCTGGTTTCTGTTTGATCGTTCCCCATCCTTTGTATTATAAAAGTCTATTTCCTAGTGAGATGTGTCTAGCCTTGTGCTGTTTCGTTTTAGACAACTGAAGTCACACATATATGCTCATGTTCCCCCAGGTACCAATTCATACCACTAATCACTTACTACCCGTTACGCCATCTGGCGATTAGGGCTGCAACAAAGGATTTTTTTTAAATTCATACCATAAACAATCAATTAAATGAAATTTAATGTTTCATCGGCCAGCTGCTTAAATGTACTAAGCCCCCAATTTTTTAAAGTACTGTTATTGCAGTTTCTATCTCTGGTATCAGTTGCATGAGCTCGAGAAATATCGAAGTTCCTCTTCTTAATGTTGAAAAATAGCAAAGGAAAGATAACAGAGGTACAAATGATTTGTTACAAAAATTGATAAGTTGGGGTTTTTTTTCTCTGTCCTGAAATATTTTCTTTTCTGGGCTTACAATATTTTATCAGCTTACTGAGAGATGTTGTCATCCTTTCCATTCTTATAATTTGAAAATCAGACCTTGAAATAAAAGTTAATAAGGATTCTCATTTCTTTTCATGCTGTGATGTGTTGTGTTTATTTCTCCTCTACAGGTTATTTTGACCTAGGGAGATATGTGTTTCCTTTTAGATTTCAACTGCCTAAGGATATTCCAGGTGAGACTTTTCTTTCTTTGTTCTGGTCTTCGTGCAGTGAATCTGGTTTGTAACAAATTTGTCAGGTCTGACCTTCAATTTTGATGGGTGTCCAAGTTTTGAGTCCGAAATCAGTGGGTGCAAGGTTCACTGTTTACTGTGTGGACTGCTAGTGTGTAAAGTAATGTCATTTTCTCTCTTATTAATACCTGTTTCTTTCATATGGGTAGCCAATGTACTCAAAAAGGCTAGTAGAAGAGTAAATGTGCTGATACATATATATGTATGTATATATGCGTAGTTGGTAAAATGGATATTGTCAGGTAAATAAGCTTAGTTGATGGCTTCAAAGACTGTTCTTTCTTTGCCATGTTCCAATGTTCCATGCTGTGTGTTTCAATAATTTTGGAAGTGATTGTGCATAAGAGTTGCATATTTTCCCGAATTTGAACAGGTTCCTTCAAGTGCTCTGGACAGACTGCCAAGTCATCATGGAGTGCTACTGTTTCTTACTCCATAAAAGCCTGTGCCATAGGAGCGGAAGATATTCAGGTATAGTGTAGAGTTCTTCCTTGATTACGGTGTCCAAATTGTTTGAAAGATGGCAGTTTTATGTCATCCTTTGAATCCTTTGTTTGTTCATGCTTGAAGTATTCCTGACATGTATATATGCTGAACTTACTGGCGTCATTAATGCCGTTGTAAGGCTCTTTACCAAGAATGCAATGTATGTATGTTCAGTTCCCAAGTAGGTTGGGCTAATACAACTACCTGTTACTAGAGTTTGTCATTCATTCCTTTAATATTTCTTTATCCAACATTAAGTTTGGTTGTTTTCCAACTTTTTTCCATTAGACAGCATTTCCCTGGTATTAGAGTTTGTCTTTGTCCATCAATCATTTCCTTTATACCAATTTTTTTTTTTACTGACATGATGGGATTTTTTTTTCCCCTTACTTTTTCATTGAAAATTTGCTAAATTAGTCTTCAGCATCTAATATCTCTGCGTAATTCTGTACCTGTTGTGTATCGACTAACTGATTGAACTGATGTAATATCTAAATAAATGTCAGTGCCACATATTTGATTATATTTTCTTTTTAAAAAACCAAATGCCTCCAGGTCATACAGCCACTGGTCATCTATGAGGCAGAACTGGAGGATCTGAAGCAAGGACAGTTCACATCGGCCAAAGATAGCAGCTTTGAAGTGTCGGGATTTCTTCCTCGTATGAGAAAAAGAGTCCATGTTACAGCAAAGTCAGTGAACAATTAGATGATTTATAGTTATAGCCCTGTTTAACAACAGCTTTGATAAAATGTAGGATGCAGGTCTGTTTATCAAGGGTCTGGTTTAGATCTAAAAAATAAGCCCCCTACATCCCTTCTCTGCGGGGCCTGCCTTTAAAATGAAATATTTAAGGTTAAAATGTAAAACTTTAAAAAAAACTGTTAAATCTCGCATGTTCTCCTTTGTTATGAGCTGTTGTTGGGAATGTACTCTATTTAACTGAAACAAATTTTTTTAAAATTCAGATGAATTTTAACCCTCTTTCATTTTGACTTTTACATGTAGTATGAGATCTATTCATGTTACGGTTTATCTGTATTCACCATACGTCAGTGTTTATTTATATGTGATACTATAAATCAGGATGTAGAATTCCTTGTTCAAATGTTCTCTCCATGAATTGTTTTACTGTATGTGTTGAGGGTTGGCTGTAATGTTCATGTATTATTTTCTATCATTTCCCAGATTGCTGGACAATTATGTTGAATGTGGCTCCAACGTACAGCTGAGACTCATTATCACAAACCCATCGAAAGTTAAACTCACAGGATTTAGCATCAAGGTACATTGTTCTATTTTATTAATATGTTGAAGAAAAACTGGAAAGGGATATTGGTTTTGAGTTTTAGTATGTTGAGGAATTTGGGGGTGGGTGGGGGGGGAGTGGTGAATCACATTATTTATCTATTTTCTATTTCCCTGTCGAACAACGTGCAGAGTAAATCTCGATTCACATCGAGCACCTTCTTGTTCTGTATATTTGTAATTTGTTTTAAACTGTTTCCAAATTTTCAAAGGTTAAGATATAGAGTTTTTGTAGTGCATACACGTCTCACTTTGAATGTAATTGTCTTAGTATCTAAACCATCTAACAGTGTGTTGGACCACATCAAGTAGAACATTGTTCATATTTCAGGTGGTAAGACTAAACCTGACGACAGCACCTTTTGTTGTATTTGAGAGATGAATTGATCGGATTAACAAGTCCAATTATATCATCATTTTATGCTTTTTTCCCTATATTTTTTAGTTGATAACGTTTAAAAATATCTACCTTATATTTTTGTTAAAAAAAACTTTTGTGCTTTCTTTCATACCTGGTTATAATAATCTTTTTTGCCTAGCTAAACTGTATTATGCCAGTACTGGATGGATGACTTGCTATCAGTTTGTGTATAGTGGAAATGAATACAGTCAAACCTGCTCAAGTGACCACCTGTCCAAGACAATTGAATCACCTGTGCGAGTGACCACTTCCCACTTCCTTTCTTGCATTTTCTATTTAATAATAACACTTTCCATGAAGACCACCTGTCTAAGATGACCACTCTACTTTTCTCTTGGGTGGTTGTCTTGGACATGCTCAACTGTACTCTGGATAACATGTTTCGAAGTTGCTACCAAGTTGAGTATTTGGAGAGATTTTCTTTTGGTCAGAACACAACATTTTATGTTAGTGTTTTATTGTAAAGCGCTCAGAATCTGTGTACTTTAATCGGGGTTGAGCGCTATATTAAAAGAATGTCATTTATTTGTTAGACCTATATTATTATTTTGAGTTAAGCTGATTTTGTTTCAAAGGCTATTTGTTTATTTAACAGTGGTGTTGTAATGAAATAAGCAGCACACACCTTTTGGACTTCTGTTACAGCTGATTCGTTACCTGACCCTACACATGCGTGATGCGCCACCTTGTGTCAAAGCTTCAGGAAACATGCAGTTCATGAACGACGCGTGTCAAATTTCTCCAGAGTCTGGACCGCTTGTGGTTCGTACGGTGTCTGGAAATTCTGAGACAATCATCATCGGGAAGTAAGTGCCAAAAGGAACATGTTATATATCGTCGCTTTTAGGCACAAGGGGGCTATCCCGAAAAATACTGTTTTGAGAAAGTCGAAGGTAACGTTTTTTGCCCCTTGTTCTGTTTCTTTAAAAGACAAGATGTTTTGTCTATGAGCAAACAGATGTGCACACCAATGAAACCGAACTTCTTCTATAGGCAGGGCACTTTTGTTTTAGGTCAAGATTTCTGGAAATCTCCGAAATCCGGGTTAGCCCACTTGTCCTTAACCGTAGAAGCGCTCAGCGTTTCACCGGAAGTAACCCGCCAAAAATGCCCCGCCGCCACGGCCGATCAGTTATAAACATGAGGGTTTGGCGGGGGGGGGGGGGGATCAACTGAGATACCCGAAATGTATACCTGCTACTGAAAAATGACCATTTACGGCTCAACAGATGATAAAAAGCATATAAAAGCATATATTTTCTTTAAGCTGATAGAATGAACCATTTAAAAATGATCAGCGATCAAATAAATACAAACAATGCCGAGAACGCGATAGACTCAACATTTAGTACATCAGCACGACGAAACAAGTGATAACACATAGCGTGTAGTCGCTCAGCGGGACCGCGTCACTTTATCGATCGATATCTCGGCCAAGAGATGCCGTACGAGGTCAAGATAACTTGCAAAGTTATTGGTCACTATTTATAACTTTGAGCTGTAATTGACTACGTCATTTTCCACATAAGGAATACTGGAATTTTCCATTGAAAAAGGTCAGCGCCTGCACGCTTCCCGGTCGAAGTAGGTCAGCCCTATATATAGGGCGTGCGCACTTCCCGGGTAGCCCGGCTCATGCCCTTTATATAGGGCCTTCATTGCTTCCAGGGTTAAAAGCGACCATATTATAGCAATGGAGACTTGTGAAATTGTTAAACTTCTCGGCTTACTACTCTTAGTCCGACTGCACACAAGTTTTTCTCAATTGACAGGAAGTTGCATAAATTATGGGTTCTCAAACATGTATCAGTGTGTGGTTGGCGGGTGCTCTGGTGTGGTTTGCTTCTTTTTTCCTGTGAAATATCTATCGTCCTTGATCTCCCCTTCTTCTTTTTTATGTTTGTTACTCTGTAAAAACTTGAAAATCTCTAATCTTCTGGCGCTCATATGACCTTTTGCAGTTGCAAGCGCATTAAAACCTCTACTTAAACAAACAAACGAAGTGGAGATATTTGAGATTGAAGAAGGTGTGTGTCTCCTGGCGTCAGAGTAAAATTAACTGGAGAAAATGACTGTGAAAAGTTTGGTGACTCCCAATGCTTGAGTGTCCTTGAAAACTGCAAATTTTACATTTTTTGGTGCCGTTCATGAGAATTCACTCAGAAATGTGTTAATAAATGGCCGTTAAAAAATATTTAACTGAAAAGAAAAAAAAATTCAATAAAAATTACGGTCAGAAAAATGTTGGCTTCTTCAATTTCATTATTTTAATGGACGCCTGATTCCACCACACTGCCACACATTTCATCTTTTGACTTCTCTGTGTTTTCTTTGAGTTTTAGCGGAGGCCTGGACAAGCTACAGCTGCCTCTGGCCGAGAATGTCCCAGAAGGAACCAGGGATGTCTCTCCTTCTGTCACTGGAAAACATGTCAAGGTACGTATGACTACTATGACAGGTGCTTTCCCCACACAGGTGTTGATGTATTTTTTTATTTTGTTCTGTTCTGTTTTTCTGTCTTTTTATTTTTATTTTATTTATTTATTATTTTTTTTATTAGAGGGGGGGGGGAGACTGGGGAAGGTGGGCTGGCTTCGTGGTCCTCTGTTTTGATATTATATTGAAGTATTTTGGAGCTCTGTTTTTGGATATATAGTTGATATACTAGTAAGTTAACTTTATCACTGTTCCATCATGGCCAGTGTGTTTCAAACTATTCAGATATCACATTTTGACTCTTGATGTACATGTGCACTTGTGTATCAAATTTGTGAGGCATCGTGGTGAAATCAGGTGCTCATCAAAATAATGAAATCAAAGAAAAAGGCTTTTTGATTTTTTGCCATCAGCTTAACAATTTTTAATAGAAATTTCGGTGCTTTTGCTAAACATCTTTAATGTTCATAATTTTAATGAAAAACCTTGTTTAAAGGCTCTAAATATGCAATTTTCATTTTCAAGCACTCTTACCTTAAGCTATTGAAGTTACCAAATTTTGGTTACCATTTTCTCATTAATGTAACCACTGAAACCAGGGTACCCCACCTTCTTCAATCGAAAATATCTCAACTTCTGTTCATGCTAGATAGGATATTTTTTTCATTGAAAGCAAGGCAAATGAATAATCTTTCACTTTCAGGTGATGCCAATAACTTCACATGCCCAAAAATTGATGAGCGCCTGATTCCACCATGTCTTTACACACGTTTATGTGTGTTCACATGTTTGTGCATAAATATATATATATATTATATTTATATATATGTGAGTGTATGTGTTTTTATTTATTTTGTTCCTATTTTGTTTATCTGAGAGTGGTTGGAGGAAGCCACCAGTAGATCGTACTTCTTTTCTTGCTCCCTGCTATTTGTGTCTTCTTTTTTGTTCTTCTCATTCATCTCTAAATGGACATGGTCTCAGTCTTTAGTGCGATGGCTGCTGTTCACCGCAGGCCCTCCTAGAGTTTTGGGCCTCTCTGCCCAAGGTTGGGCTAAAATTTCCTTTGAAGTAAGTTCCTCGAGCATTGAACAGACTTGTAGCAGATGTTGTCTCTGTCTATCTGTTGGTGGGTGGTAGGCGGGTGCTCTGGTGTGGTTGGCTTCTTCTTTCCTATCAAACATCTATTGTCTTTATCTCTCCTCCTTTTTAAAAAAATGTTTGTTACTCTCTTGTAACACCTCTTATCTTCAGCACCTATATGACCTTAATGTTTTGCATGTGCAGTAAAACTCTTACTAAAGTCTATCTGTCTTGCTTTTTCCATGCACTATGACCATTATTGGGTCGACGTGCTTCTTTTTACTGTTACTCAAATATTTGTTTTGTCTGTGTTTGCTCTATAAGTATACAGACGTGCTTCTTTTTACTGTTACTCAAATATTTGTTTTGTCTGTGTTTGCTCTATAAGTATACATAAAAGTCTGTTGTCTTGTTTCTCTTCCACCAGAACCAGTATGGTGTAGAGGTCGCAGTCACCTTCAGTAACGACCATACGGAAAGTTTCACTCTCCCCATTTCAGGAGTCCTCCCTAGAACCAATACAAATGTGAGTAGAAATTTTTAACCCATTCCCACCCAGATCAACTGACGTCAAACTTCTGGTGAATCCACTCATGCTCCTATATCCACCATTATAGACAATTTGTGAGGCAGCGTGGTGGAATCAGGCTCTCGTCAATTTTTGGGCATGTAGAGTTATTGGTATCATCTTAAAGCTTGTTTACTTGTCTTTATTTGGATGGAAAAAAATGTCCCTTTATCTTGAATACAAGTCGAGATATTTGCGAAAGAAGGAGGTGGGGGTCACCTGTTTTCAGAATTAAAATTAGTTAGAAAATGGCCCCCAAAGATTGGTTATTTCCTTAGCTTAAGAGTCCGTGGTTACTGAAAATTTCCATTTTTTGTGCCTTTAATCAACCTTTTCCAGAAAAATCCACACAGAAACGAGTTCTTTAATGGGCATGACAAGTGTTGAGCCCAAAAACAAAAATTTCATAAAAATTCACAAACCTGAGGAAAAATGCAAGTTTCTTCACTTTGATTATTTTGACGAGAGCCTGATTCCACCACGCTGCATCACATTTGTTTTTTAAATGCTATTTAAGTTTAATTTCGCCCAGGGTTATGCCCTTTTTGGTTTTCTTAGTGGGTGGTGATAATTGTTTGGCTGGGGCCTTATGCGGGACTAAGTTACCCCTTGTGGTTCTTTTATTTATTACAGTATCCTTATTTGAAAAACATACTGTAGTAGATTGTGGAAAATGTTAATTAAGATGTTGAATAGGGCAGACTTCTGTTTAAGTTTTAGCACTTCGCTGCCTCTAGCATTTGTTGTTCAAATTTTGGTGGAGGGTCACCGTGATAAGCATTTTGTTTGTTTTAGTTTTACGGCACTTGCAACACAATAAGGTCATATAAGTGCCGAAGATTAGAGGTGTTGCAAGAGAGTAACAAACACAAAAAAGAAGGAGGAGAGATCAGGACGATAGATGTTTAATAGGAAAGAAGGAGCAACCATACCAAAGCACCCGCCAACCACCCACAATATGCATTTGTTGTTAAAATTTTTGGACACAGGAACCCGTTATTCAGCCATATGTCATGATTTGGACAATGAATTGAATTTGAAGTAAATTAGCAGCACATCTTAATTCTGGGAACAAGCAAAGCTGAGAAGAGATCTGAGAATTGACACAAGGATGGGATAAAAATTGGTGTCTGACCTGCCCACAACACCCTCTGACTGCCTGTGTTGAATAGTAACAAATCATATGAATTGTAGCAAAATGCTTATATCCTGAAAAATAGAAATTGATTTAGATTTGAATTAAATACATGCCCGTACCAGAAGTATATATATAATTGAAGTATATGGACTGGCTGTTTCTGATATGAATTGCTTTCTTTGACATTGTTCTCAAATTTAGTTTAGGCCTTGAAACAATACTAATACTATGCATGGAATAAAAATTACGAAACCTTATTGAAAAGTACATCTCTGAGTCTGAGTACTGAAGTCATATGTGTCACGACACGCTGGAATCAGGTGCTCGTCAAGTTTTGGACATATGGAGCTATTAATATCATCTTAGAGCCTGTTCATTTGTCTCACTTTAAATGAAAAAAATTACCTTTATATCTTGAATAGAAATCTAGATATTTTGGACTGAAGGTCAGAGTCACCCGGTTTCAGAGGTAATATAAGACAGAAAATGACCGCCAAAGTTTGGTGACTTCCAAAGCTTTCGAGTCCTTGGAAACTGTAAATATACATTTTTCCTGCCTTTAGTCAACGTTTTCCAGTAAAAGACACACTGCAACTTGTTCTTAAATAGACATAGAAGGTGTTGAGTCAAAACATGAAAATTCGACAAAAGTTGCCGAATGGGAAAAAAAATTCCGTTTTCTTTGATTTCATTATTTTAACAAGCGCCTGATTTCATCACGCTGCGTCACATACATTTCTATTGTCACTGAGACTGAGGTTTGATACAAATGTCGATTTAGACTTAATTAGTGCTACAACTTCAAAACTGACCACTTTTGACTTCTTGTCCTTCTCCAGTGGTCAAGATGGAGGGCCCCAGACTGGACATTCCATTGTGAGACCAAGCTGTCTTCCTGTATATTTTCTGTGACCGAACAGATGCTCCGTAAGTACAGTAGAGCCTCTGCCTAACATTTCAGTGCTCAGAAAGGCTTCTCGTGGTCTAGGGGTGTGGTGTTCACCTCTCAATCAAAAGGTCCAGAGATCGAAACCTGCCAGTGACAAATATATGGCCTTCTCTCAAAATATCTCCCGACCCCCTCTCTAGTCTCTGTTTCTCTTTCCCTCTCTCTGGGTTTTTCTACTGCTATTCCTGACTGCCATACTATTTACTGCTGTCTTTCAGATACACCCCTCTTATTTTAGGGTAGGTCTCAGATCAAACACCTAGCCTTCATGAATAAGTCTGAAAAACCTCCGAGGGAAAACGGTCATATACGTAATAATCAGTTGCACCGCAGACTGAAGGAAGAACCAGTAGTGAACCACACAGATGAGAAGAAAAGAAGTTTGAGAAAGCAAGAATTTCAGTCGAAGGTGTCTGAATGAGATCAGAGTAACAAACTACATGTTGGGATTGAGTTTGTGATAAGTTAAGAGTCATCATCCAATTCAACTAATTGACAGGTAAAAATGGGTTATGCAATGTATGCTGTAATACTGTAATGAGTGCTTTCGTCTAATCTAATCTTGAAATTTGAAACGATGGAAGAACATAACCCTTGTCTTCTTTAAGTTCTTTGTGATGAAGTCCTGTGCTTCCTATCTTTTTTTTAATGTATTCCGCGCTCATGTGACCTTCCTTATGCTGTTGCGAGTGCTGTAAAAGACTTACCATCTATCTGCTGAATAATACAGCAAAAACATAATATAATGTACACTTGAACATGCTCTCTTATGGCCTCCTATCCAAAACGATAATCTGTAAAAACAGTCTCTTCCAATTTTCCCCTTTTTATTTTTTGTACATTACAGTCTTATTTGTGGACCACTGTGTTATAGCCCACTCAGTGCTTTTGCTGAAGTACAGCGAGCTAGTTGGCTTTGTCAGTTTCCCAAAGACATTGCAGAAAGCTATGATGATTTGCCAAGATTTGCATCTCATCTATTCCTGTCTGAAACGTTTATAGAATTGGTAAAATACTGAGTACTTTTGCGTCAGAGATTCTTGTAACTGCTCAATACTTGGATATTTTTTTAAGTTTTTTTTGTTTAAAATCAAGTACACAAAACCATGGTTATTTACTGACTACTACAATCGTAACAGTAGACGTCAGTTCAGATAAAAAATTTTTCTCAGATAACGCATTCCTATTTTACTCGCCTATGAAAAAGTCTTTCAATGTATTGCTCTTGTTTTCTTCACTGTTTTCATTTATTGATTTTACCACTACTACTACTGTTTTCTTTCAGGCACAGAGGCCTTTTCAGGCTTGCCTATGTTCCAAGTGCTGTGACATTCCTGGTGTTTGAGCTTGAGATCTATGCACGACTTCTAATTGTCGAGAAAAATTCAGATACATATATATACACATGACATATAAATTATATGATCTTATAAGTGAATTGTTGTTAATTGTTCTCAATATATATGTGAATGCGATTTGATTTGTTGTTATTGTTATAAATGCATTTGTTTTGTGGTAGATAAATGGTTTCGGGTCAGTAACTTAAACTTGTTGTCAGAACCGTAAAAGTCATGTACATATTATCATTTATAATTCATTATATATTGGTTGCAACGGTCAAGATTACTTGAACTAGATCTACTTAGACGTATAAAGAAGTCCTCAAGGAGTGTAAATATTGTGATGGGAACAACAGACATGGTGGTGAAACAGTCTATTTATCACCCGTTTTGGATTGTCTTGGATAAGCAATTCTTTACCAGGATTGAAGTTCAGGATATCAGAGAGTGAGGGGGGGGGGGGGGGGGGGCAGTTGGTCATTTATTTTAATAGATTTGAACAGTGCACAGCACATACAATTCTTCCTTCTGTGTTCATTGTGTAAAGTTCAGTAGAAAGCTTCTCTCCAGCTTCAAGTGCCATGCAAAAATTTTACTTCAGCTGCTAACCAAAATCTTACTCTATTCTGGTAAGATAACCTTTTTACTCACTGGCAGATACTGTGGCGTCCTTTTATATATATATTATGTGATATACAATCAAACCTACCACAACGGCTAGCTATACAAAAGGCCACTTTTCATTTTCCCCCCTTGCGTTTTTTCTATATAAATTAACTGTGTAAAACGGTCACCTGTCCAAAGCCCCGGTTTGGACCTCATTGGACCTCGGAAGAGAATGATCTTATTTCATTTTGATCAGTCCTGCCTAAGACGGCCACTTTTCTCCATGACAAAGGGTGGCCGTTTTATGATTCATATGTGATTCTTTGAGATCTTACAGATCTTAAACATGCCTTTGTCAAATCAAATTGTCTACTGTGTATAATAATAGTATAATAATGTTTGAGAAGATAAGAAAATGTGACAGTGACAGAAATAAAACTATTTGTATTTTAAAAATTAAAAATTGAGATTTATTCCTGAGTGTCTTAGAGTTTTCTCAGATATGAAAAGGAAAGATAAAGCCCAACATCACGCACTAGTCATTTTTTAAAGGAATTGCCAAACTTACTAAATAATATGTAAATAACCGATACAATGACATCACGGAGGCATATGTGAGGCAGCATTATGAAATCAGGCGCACGTGAAAATAATGTAATCAATAATACCGATCACTGCGCACCGGTGGTGGAATTTTAGTTGCCGCGAGGGATTCCCCGCCGAGCGCCTTATCACGTCGGGGTCACGGGGGTCAGCTCCCTGTCGCCGCTCTGTCTGGGCCGACTTAATTTTTGGTACTTTTTAACCGTACGTTTTAGGTGTATCCTTGTACTTATAGTAATTATCATTAAACGCACTCATAGCATAGATTTCTGCTTTTGCTACTTAAAAAAGAACGGACATTGTATCTTTTATGGTTATTTTGTTAGACGCTCTTGAAATAAGCAATGCTAAACTACGATTTGTTTTGACAAATGTTGCTGAAAAAAAATCAAATAAAAAAAAATGCACGACAAAACTTGTCGAGCTTTTAGAATATGAACGACACAACATAGATGCATGTACTCACGAAAAACTGTATCTGCGCGAATGATAGAAAGCTGTATTTCTGCACCTTAATCCATCTTGCACACATTATGATGAGAAGTGTTATGCGATACAGCAGTTCCTTCATTTACAAATGTCTAATACAGTTGTTAATATACACATACACAAATTGTTTTAAATAAAATTTATGTAGTGGTCTCT